GTGGCCTGCCAATTATTCCTATAGTGCCGAATGAGCCTTCTCTGAGACCTTTACAACAAACTGTGTTGGTGCTTCGAAGCTTTTGACACTGTGCTCTACTTCGCCATCTGGTGGTCAGTACAAATTCCTACACCAACTGTGTCATTCAATGTCTTGTTCATTGGGATATCATTGTAAGGTTTATTTGTATATTTAATAAGCATATATGTCATTAGCAAGATGGCGGTGTGTGTGTGCAGAGATAGTTTTTCTAATTTCATTGTATTTTGTATTACAATACAATGACAATAAAGACTTTCTGTTCTTCATTTTTACTCGCATCAAACTTGTGTCTTTTTTACCTTCTTGGCCAATAAATTAGGCCTATGTGATTTTTCATTGCATTCATTTTTGGTGTGTTCCTTACAAAACAACACAAACATGCACATTGTTAAGAAACACAAATGCACAATTCCAAAAGCAATTACATATTTTATTCAAGAATATCAACAATACACCAAGTAAAACAAAGCTACATACATACAGGCATGACAGATATAATTATAATATTGCACTAAATGGATAGTGGGTATGGGACAGCGCAATCAACGCGCTTTGTATGTGAGCTCGGCATGACGTGTCTGTGAGGTAACGAAGCTTCATTTCCACCGGTCACGTGACAGCCTCATTTCAAGCGATGCTCCGAAACACTGTTAAACCTAAAACTCGAGACGTGTGTCGACACTGGGTCTCAATCTACCCATTCCTACTGGGAAGACTAAAGCTGTTTCTGCAAGAGGGGTTAAGGCCAGTTCACACTGCACAGACAAACATGTTCAGCGTCTGTTGTCGTGGGTCGGAGGTTGTTTTCAAACATATTCAATCAGGCTTTTTTGGGGCATTGAGAACATGACAGTTATTTCCAATAAGTTAAATTCCAACTTGTTTGTTGGTTTTGGTCTGTGTGGTGTGAATTGGCCTATATGAGGACAGTCTGAGGCTACGTCTACATTCATTTGAATACATTTGAAAACGTTTCGGGTTACTTGACTGTAACCCTGTTCAATGAAAAAGCGGAACGAGATGCTGTGAATATAGTGCATAAACACGTCAATGGAATCGACCGAAAGTAATATAGCCTCGGACGGTGACATCGTCGGCACGCACCCGCGACACGATGCTGTAATTAGATGAGCCACTTAAGACCGCTCCCCAGCCCATCAGGGAGGCGTCTGTCGTTAGAAATCTGCGAAGACAAGGCGCCCCTAGAGTGGGACCTAAGGCGAGGAACCGGGGTCTGAGCCACAGAGATAGTGTATGAAGCCCTCGGCGCATCACTTTTTTTTTTGCCTTTGAGGATTGGCCCTTGGATGAAATCCCCTGGCTTTTAGCCACAACTGAAACGGTCTCATATGCAACAGCCCCAAAGGAATCCCCGTGGATGCTGAAGCCATGAAACCTAACATCTTTTGGTACTGACGAACAGTGCGATCTTGGCCTAGCCTGACTTTGCTCATGGTTAGCCGAATGGTCTCGATTCGAGCGGGAGACAGTTGTGCCCACATCGTGATCAAATCCCAAACGATCCCGAGGTAAGTCGTTCTCTGGGCAGGAGAAAAAACACTTTACTTGGTGTTGAGTCTCAACCCTAGAGAAACTAGATGAGCTAACACAATATCCCTGTGTTGAAGCGCCATCTCTTGTGATTGTGCTAGTATTAAAGTCGGCATGAAATCAAATTTGACAAATCTTCTTTTTATATGTAATATTGTAGTGTTTATTATAAATGATTTATCTGTGCACTTCATTATTTTTTTTAAATTCATGTACCCTTATAATCTTTAATCAAATACATTACCCTTCCCTACCCCCTCGAAATGACCTCTCTTCTCTTTCGGTCATGTGCAATGGCGAAAGGGTGCGGCCAGAGCCGATGAGGGTGCGGCCATCGGTGCACCGCCTCTCAGAGAAGATACATTCAAATCAGAGCCATAGAGAATGGCTCTGATTCAAATCTGCCTCCATTTTGTTTGCAACGCCCAACCTCCAACGATCCAATCAATTCCCGAAGGACGAAATCAAGCCCCGCCCTACATTTTTTTTCTAATTTCAGAAGTTTTTCAAAAATGACAATCTCAACTTCCGTTTCATGCCGACTTTAACCAATCATCGATGTAATGTAAAATGCGAATGCCCTGGAGTCGCAATTGAGGCAGTGCTGCACCCATGGATTTTGTGTATGTGCGGGGTGATAAGGCTAATGTAAGAACGAACCTCAGGAACTTCCTGTGTTGTGGCAATATTTGTATGTGAAAATATGCGTCCTTCAGATCGATCGTGACGAACCAATTGTGATGTGGAATTTGCGACACGACCATCTTGACGGTTAACATCTTGAACTTTAGTGCTTTGACTGTACTGTTTAAGCATCGACGATCTAAGATTGGACACAACCCCTTGTCCTTCTTGGGGACCAGGAAGTATCTGCTGTAATAGACCGACTCCCTCTCTGGAAGAGCAACATGTTCTATGGCCTCTTTGCTCAGAAGAGTTTGTAGCTCTCACGGAAGTGGAGGAACGCTGCCTAAAGCGTGCCAATGTCTCGAACCATTGCTCGAACAATTGGTCGAACAACGATAGCTCACGAGGGTCTCGTCTCTTGCTCGTCAGCCAGATCCATGCGAGAGCCCCACGATGGTAATGTGAGTGCGGTCTGGAAGAGGCGAGCGCGAAGCATTTTGACAGTAAATAACTTGCAATGCTCGCACTTGTCCCGCTCCAATGCAAGAGCTGCATGATCTTCCCACAAACAGACAAAACAGTAAGCGTGTGTATCCAGTTCTGACATGGGACGAGAACATGGAGGGACACAGCGCTTACTTTGTTGACTCATTTCTCTTTCTGCTTTTTTTACTTTACTTTTTTTACTTTACTTTTCTAAACACTTTTTAGATCGTTCAGAGATGAGAAAGAGAAAATCTGCACACTGCCAGCTGAGAAACTAAATAACTCCTAACTGTAGTAGATAGAGAGGAGATAAATGCTTGCACACCAATACAGAGAGGTCTCTGAAGACAAAAGACCTGACGATGCACCTGCAGCTCATCTAATGGCGCTTTTCCATTACCAGTACCAGCTCGACTCGACTCGGCTCGCCTCGCCTTGGCTCGCTTTTCGCTCCGTTTTCCATTGCAGACACCAAATGTAGCACCAAATGTTGGGCCCCGGTCACAGAACCAAGGGATGGCCCCTTACAACACCCAACACTGCTTTGTTTTCACTATTATTCAATTTATTTATTTTTTCCACAAGGTTAAATTCAGTTTACCAATTGCAATAACATAGCACGAAAATAATAAATAAATTAACATTATAATATAAATGTAATAGCTATTAAAATGTAGCCTTCAAATATTTATCAATTTTGAGCGGATGGGAATTCTGATTTGTCGCTACACTCATATGCTCAACACACTTCTCTGTGATAGGCGACAGTTCTCAGCGCTGCAAACAGGAACGCTTGTAAACATGGACCGTTTTAATGCAGCCGTCTATCTGCGTGTATCTAATTAAGTCTCTGTACTCAGTAAAACCGCGCAGAAAGACTGGTATCGTCACATTGCACTATTTAATTATTTACTTTGTATAAAGTAGCCTACAGGTAGGCTACTTTTGACAAGACTACTTCACGAGGTAAACGGATAAGTAGCCTAATAAGTTACAGAGTTGCTTTTCTCTTGCAAGCATCATACCCCTCCCCCCTAAAAAAAAAAAAAAAAAAACTAGCCAGAAGTTGTCAACCCTCCTGCAGCTTTCTTTCCAGTGTTTTCTTTTTTGATACCTGATTTAGGCTTCATTTTTTTTGTAGTGCGAGGCTCCTTTCCATGCCACAAGCTGAATTTAAACCGCTGGACTACAAGACCAAACCATTTCTGCGTCAGGGGGAAATAGGGGGATCGCTAACGGAGAGCACAAGCAAAGAACATTTTTCAGTTTTACAGATGGAAAATTGAGTCTTGTGAATTTGTATTCCTACCGATATTATAACTATGTGATTTTTTTCACTATGTCATTTTAATATTATGGATTATCAATACATCTTTGTGGGCCCCCCCTCGCCGAGGGCCCCTGTTCAGTTCCACTATTACCCCCTGTCCGACGCCCCAGTAGGTTAGTTTCACTTCACAGTAGTCCTTTTTTTAAGTGCAAAATTATATTCAGAGAAAGAAAAGTTTAAAGTCAAACAAAGTCAAAAATTTATTCTGAATATATTTTCATTTTTGAACCATCTTTTATGTGATTATTTGGTTCAGTCATTACACAGCATCCATATACTCAGCAAAATACACACTCTTAATAAAGAAGCAAACAATTTGGAGATGCCAGTTGAACTTTCAGCACAAATATCTGATAACAGACATAGATAAGCAGCTGAAAGTTCTTTGATTCTTTATAAACTAAATTAATACACATGGTGAAAATAGCATGAACACTTCGACTATCAGCAATCACATGTAATATACGGACACAAATGAAAAATCACTAGTATGTAAAGTGTCTTTTAAACAAAAAATATATCAACATTCCAACCCAGACAGCCACATAGTGTCGGCCCAGATTCGGCCCACATCTGTTACACGTGAATCCACACGTTTCAGATGATTGGGCTCCAAATAAAGTTCAATGCCTACTCGATGTGTATGCTGTTTTTACTCCCCAAAACTATTTTACCACTTCAGTTTTGCTCCAAACATGAGCGGATAAAACACAGTGTCCGCTTCTGGAGGAGCTCAGCAAGAGACCAGGGAGAGTTGAGTCTACACGGTCCTCATGCTGAGGTTAAATCCAGCGGCTCATTGGTGCTCACAGCCAGATTGTGTGAGTCCAGCTTCACTCATGGAAGAAACCATGGAAGAAACCATGCCAGAAACTATGGCAGAAACCATGGAAGAAACTATGGCAGAAACTATGGCAGAAACCATGGCAGAAACTATGGCAGAAACTATGGCAGAAACCATGGAAGAAACCATGGCAGAAACCGCTCCAGCATCCGCGACCGAGAAGAAACCAGCAGCCAAACGCAAAAGAACGGGACCAAACGTCCGCGACCTGATCGTCAAGGCTGTGTCCGAGTCTGAGGAGAGGAGCGGTGTGTCCTTCCCCGCCCTGAAGAAAGCGCTCGCTGCCGATGGATACGATGTGGAGAAGAACAACTCCCGCGTCAAGATCTCCATCAAGAGTCTGGTGACTAATGACATCCTGGTCCGGACTAGAGGAACCGGCGTCTCGGGCTCCTTCAAACTCAACAAGAAACAGACCGTGGCCAAGAAAAAGACAAAACCCGCCAAGAAAGCGGCTCTTAAAGCCAAGAAACCCGCAGCCGCAAAGAAGCCCAAAACTGCAGCAGCGAAGAAGCCCATCGCTAAGAAATCCCCGAAGAAGGTGAAGAAACCCGCCGCTAATAAATCTCCAAAGAAGGTGAAGAAACCCGCCACTAAGAAATCACCGAAGAAGGTGAAGAAACACGCCACTAAAAAGGCAACGAAGAGTCCCAAGAAGACAATGAAACCAGCGACTCCTAAGAAAGCAGCCAAGAGCCCGAAAAAGGCAAAGGCAGCAAAACCCAAAACGGCGAAACCTAAAGCAGCAAAAGCTAAAAAGACAGCAGCCAAAAAGAAATAAACTGTTTTTTTCCGTTGTGTGTTTAATAAAAAAGGCTCTTTTAAGAGTCACTCAGTAATTCATAGTAAAGAGTGTTTCATCTGTCCAATGAAGATGACATTGGCTTTTCTTTATTTTACAAGTGAAAGCAAATTAATGGACCTGTATGTTCAAATACATTTAGACTTCATTATTGAGAATGTTGATGTTTTCATTCTGAAACATCCACTTTTGGTATGGAAATATGTCTTTAAATGTATTTTCTTTTTCTAACATTTAAACTTAGACCACATTATTAGATGATCATTTTACTTTATGAATACACATAAATGACAGCTTAATGATTTTTTTTATTGTATCTTAAATGGTTGAAACACCTGCTATAGACCTAAAAAATAAAGCAGTTTCCCATAACTGTGGGGACGAGCACTTCTGTGGTGCTTGGAATTATATATAATTAATTAAATAAAAATATTGACACATTAAATTGAAAGAAATTGTAACCCTAAAGTGTTTTTCAAGTGTAATATTTCTTTAAAGGCTAGGGAAAGAAACAATACATTTCCATAGAATGTGCGTACATGTTTACATATCCATACATGTAACTATGAAACTATTCTGCTTCAAGACCGACTCGTTTAAATTGTAATAAGATATATTATATTACTGTAATAATAATTTAAATAAAGCCCATTATCTTTAAAAGGAAGACTAGCGGCGTGAAATGATACTACAGCGTGACGTGTGTGAGTGTCAGTAGCAGAAAGGGCGGTTTGGAGGGAAGATCACTGATTGGATGAGAATGTTTTCAGATTTAAGCCAATAGGAGACTGACACACTTTCTTTATAAGTCCCGTCACAACGGGCAACTGCTTTGTGATTGTTTCTCTCTCTAGTCGAAAACAAACTTTAATCGCAATGAGCGGAAGAGGTAAAACCGGGGGAAAGGCTCGCGCCAAGGCCAAGAGTCGCTCTTCCAGGGCGGGACTGCAGTTCCCCGTCGGCCGTGTTCACAGGCTTCTCCGCAAAGGCAACTATGCCCAGCGCGTCGGTGCCGGAGCTCCGGTGTATTTGGCCGCTGTGCTCGAGTATCTGACCGCTGAGATCCTGGAGTTGGCTGGAAACGCCGCTCGGGACAACAAGAAGACCCGCATCATCCCTCGACACCTGCAGCTGGCGGTGCGCAATGACGAGGAGCTGAACAAGCTTCTGGGTGGCGTGACCATCGCTCAGGGTGGTGTGTTGCCCAACATCCAGGCCGTGCTGCTGCCCAAGAAGACCGAGAAGCCCGCGAAGGCCAAGTAAACTGACGGAAGCTTCTCTGCAAAACAAAGGCTCTTTTAAGAGCCACCCAATGTCTCTCCGATTGAGTGATTTCATAAATTTTATCACTATTTAATTTAGGATCAGCCCAGCATAGAATTAAATCAGTTGTTTTTCCATACTTTGTTAGCATTATTTAAAACAATACACAAATATAAGACTTATTTAATCTAACTATCAAATTAAAGGAAATGAATGGTTATGTTTTAGTGTTATGCTACTACCGGTATATTTAGTTGTTATATAATTTGTATGGTTAGTTATTTACCCTCATCTGTAAACAAATCCTTCCCTCGCGGGTCAAAATGACCGAAGCCCTATAGTTATAAATTTTTTCCCCCCAGAAAACTTTTATCATGTCTTTTTGATAATTAGTCTATTTTTAATACATTAAGAGTTATTTTTTATATAGTTAAATTATATAGTTGTCAATATTACTTATATTCGACTTATTTCCACTAGTGTAAGGCAAGGCATCAAAAGACTGACCAGGACTTGGAAATGCGTAACTGGTGACGTTTACTAGAACCGCCCATGAATGTGGTTTCAACTAGGTCCGCTAGCTGACTATAAATGCCTCTTCTCCAGACATTTGTTCTTTATTCGGTTGTTGTGAGTTCAATAGCATCTGTCGTCATGTCTGGAAGAGGAAAAGGCGGTAAAGGACTCGGGAAAGGAGGCGCTAAGCGTCACCGAAAGGTTCTTCGCGATAATATCCAGGGAATCACTAAACCCGCTATTCGTCGTCTTGCTCGACGTGGCGGCGTCAAGCGTATTTCTGGGCTGATCTATGAAGAGACGCGCGGTGTGTTGAAGGTGTTTCTGGAGAACGTCATCCGTGATGCTGTGACTTACACTGAACACGCCAAGAGAAAGACCGTCACCGCCATGGATGTTGTGTACGCGCTGAAGCGACAGGGACGCACCCTGTACGGGTTCGGCGGTTAAGAGACTCACGAAGAAGAAAAACCCAACGGCTCTTTTAAGAGCCACACACATTTTCTCACAAAGAACGAGTTTCTAGTTGGTGAAATGGGTAGTAGTAACGTAGTAAATTAATGATTTATCTTTATTAAACGGTGCCTTAACTCTCTATGATACTTAATATATTGAGAAAAAGGTTTGGACAAATTGATTAATTTGACAGTTTCATGTAGAAAAAGTAAGTTTCTTTAACCAGACATTTGAACAAACACGTTTATCTAGTTTTTAATGTCTTACAATTTTCATGTTATAAAAAGTATCATTTCATACCCAGCTGTTGCTTTTAGGCAACATTGTACCACAGTGGAACACAAGTATTACCAACCCATCAAATCAAGTTATATCCATCTTTACTCTCTCCCTGCTGGATTCACTGTCACTTAATCTCATCTTCCTCATCACAGTATGACTCCTCATCCTCACATTCATCAACTGCCAGTTGTGTTTTATACCTTTTTTTAGCTGCTATAGAAAATGTGTAGATATAGTATGTTAATTACTGTTCTTATAAGCGCGTTACAGATTCAATATTTAGATAATTCTAACTCTTTTCCTTACAAATCTAATATATTTGTATTCCAGCCTGGTTTGGCCTTATGCGATTCCATTGTGGTGCAATGTTGCCTTGAGGCAACAGTTTTTAGTTATTTCCTCCAAAAACATTTGATGATAATGTAAAGTTCTTGAAAATACTTATTTACTTACTAGTGAATGTGATATTTATGTGGGTGATTAACTACGCAAATTATTTAAAATGAACTTTTCATTGGGGAAAATATGGAGACGTGCACACGGTGCTGAAACAAGACACAAAATGTGCCCCTGTAGGGTCATGTTTTTTTTTGTTGCACTTTCATTGATTGGTATTTGAGTTCTTCTACAATGAGATAGGTTAGGTCCCATTTTATAAAAAAAAAAAAACTATATTAGACCATGTTTCCTGGAGGCAACACCATGCCGAGCATAGAGGGTTACGTGATTTCTAAAGCAAATAAAAATAAGGAAATGTATTTTTACTGTGCTATATTCACGATTCCGCTTTGCAGTTATTTTAACATCGTTATAAGGACTTTCGGAAGTTAGTGGTCATTGTTTGTTTTATATATATATTATTTTTTATGTAGATTACCGGATGCATAATACAATGTGTTATTTCTGCTTCTAACTAAATGTTTAAATTATATAGAATCGTAAGTACGAAAGAAAATTGAAATGATTCACAATAATCCACTTCATTCCGGAAAAATGCGGGAAAATGAAACAAAGAAATGAAGTCATGGGGGATGGTAGTTGTCGATGGGCGTGATTAACATTTCAAAGCTTCTGATTGGATCGCCTACAATTCAGGGAATATTTTATGTGACCAATGAAATCGTTCTATGCTTTGGTCCAGGAAGCCTACCAATCACAGGGTCACGTTCCTCCCTGTTAAAATTAGCATATCAGTGCATAAAAGCCGCCTGCAGTGATTCAGCTTTATTGTTTCTTTGAGTTTCTCTGAACGAAATCATGCCTGAACCTGCGAAGTCTGCACCCAAGAAGGGCTCGAAGAAGGCCGTCACTAAAACCACCGGTAAGGGCGGAAAGAAGCGCAGAAAGTCCAGGAAGGAGAGCTACGCGATCTACGTGTACAAAGTCCTGAAGCAGGTTCATCCAGACACCGGGATCTCCTCCAAGGCGATGGGAATCATGAACTCTTTCGTCAACGACATCTTCGAGCGCATCGCCGGTGAAGCGTCTCGTCTCGCTCACTACAACAAGCGCTCCACCATCACATCGAGAGAGATCCAGACCGCCGTGCGTCTGCTGCTGCCCGGAGAGCTGGCCAAACACGCCGTGTCTGAGGGCACAAAGGCTGTGACCAAATACACCAGCTCAAAGTAGAGCGAGTCCGCTCAACACAACACAACACAAAGGCTCTTTTAAGAGCCATACATATTTGTGAAAAGAGCTAGTTTTCCTGCTCTATTCTAGGTGTAACAGTTTTAAGAATAAATAAAATCGTGCTTCCTGATTTTGGTGAAAACTAAAGTGATCAGCCAAGTTTAAGCTGTTTAGTTTTTCATTAATATAAGATTATTTTAACAGGCTCAAAATTAACTTTGATGTTAGAACAAAGACGCATACAAACACACACATGTACACTCACCGGCCACTTTATTAGGTACCCCATGCTAGTAACGGGTTGGACCCCCTTTAGCCTTCAGAACTGCCTCAATTCTTCGTGGCATAGATTCAACAAGGTGCTGGAAGCATTCCTCAGGGAGTTTGGTCCATATTGACATGATGGCATCACACAGTTGCCGCAGATTTGTCGGCTGCACATCCATGATGCGAATCTCCCGTTCCACCACATCCCAAAGATGCTCTATTGGGTTGAGATCTGGTGACTGTGGAGGCCATTTTAGTACAGTGAACTCATTGTCATGTTCAAGAAACCAATTTGAAATGATTAGAGCTTTGTGACATGGTGGAAGTAGCCATCAGAGGATGGGTACATGGTGGCCATAAAGGGATGGACATGGTCAGAAACAATGCTCAGGTAGGCCGTGGCATTTAAACCATGCCCAATTGGCAATAAGGGGCCTAAAGTGTGCCAGGAAAACATCCCCCACACCATTACACCACCACCACCAGCCTGCACAGTGGTAACAAGGCATGATGGTTCCATGTTCTCATTCTGTTTACGCCAAATTCTGACTCTAACATCTGAATGTCTCAACAGAAATCGAGACTCATCAGACCAGGCAACATTTTTCCAGTCTT